TAGCCTGGCCTGCGGACTCATGGCTTGTCTGCCCCAGCCTCTCCATGGCTGGAGGATGAGTTCAACCACTCTGCCAGGCTCCGTCCATCCATGCTGGTGTGATGGTGATGAACCCACCACTGATTGCCACTGGTTGAGCATTTCCTTCTGCTTCTCTCCCAGCACAGAGGCTGTGCTGAGCGTGGAGGACTCAGGCTCCCCATGTCTGCAGTGTTCTTGTCATGGAAAGCAAGATGGTTTGTTGGATGTGAGCAGTAGGCAGCAGATCACAAATTAATTTTTAATAAATTATGTGCCTCAGCAACACTGGCTGGGCTTGGGGCTGGATCAGACCTCCCATCCCACCCACCTAAAGAGGATGTTTTTCAAAATGGTTATCTTCATCTTTTCTCAGTGCATACAACTTGGACTTCATCTAATTTCCATGTAAATAGCAAGCAGAAACACCCAAACGAGAAGCTCCCAGTGTCCCAGCAGCTCATAATTAGAGCTGATCCCCTCCCTGCAAAACAATACCTGCACACCAATAACCAGCTGGTTCCCCAGGGTACCAAAGCAGCTCAGCAGCTCTTGCACTTCTGGGAGAAAAACCTTTGATCATCCCTGCCCTTCTCAACCCCCAAATATTGCAAACCCCGTGTTTTCTGCTGCCTGCTTTAATATGTTCATGTAGATCAGGGTATTTGGAAGAAAAAAGGCCAGGAGCAAGTTTTTGGGGGGCGGTTTGCAGGCCATATCCTGCTTGGTGTCACTCTGGACATGTCCCTTGGTAATCTAGCAGAGTTGATCCAAACCAAGAGATGAAAAAGCCGGATCTGCCTCTGGGCATGGAGGCCACAAACCTCAGCTCCTCCACACAACAAACCACTGCGGAGAAATGGTGCATTTTTCACCCAGCCTCTGCATTGCTCACATACCTTGAGGACAGTGGGCTGAAGGAAGAAGGCTGTGGGAGCCTAAAATGACTATTCCCTCTTTCTTGTTGGCAGCCCCACCTTTAATCACATTACATTCACTCAGCTCTAATATCTGACCCAAACCCGTTTGTCAGCTTCAGGACAATCTGCCTTTACTGGGGTCAAGAAAGCATGAAGACAATCTCATTTTCCCATCTCACCTGGGCTTTGAATTTTATGCAAATAATCAAGGCAATAGATGTTAATGAATTTGAAGTGACATCCCAGGCACACCAACATTTTCCAAAGACAAGTAAGCCCATCTGTACTGACTGGGAATTTCACACTGAAATGGGGAGTTCTGCTTGAGTTTGAGCCTGCCTGGCAGCATTTCTCCAAGGACAATCAGATACTTGGTCTTCTGAATTTGATAAAAGACAAGGCACCTGCTTAATTTTTCTTCCAGAGATGCCAGTGGAATTTTTAGCTTGTAGTTCATGGTTTCGTAGCACTGGGGTACATGGATGTATTTCCAAGGGCATGTGGAGTCCTGTTGTGCAGAAGTGTTTAAGCCCCAGTCATGCGCACGCCAGGACAGCACCATGCTTAAAACAAACTGAGCTCTTACATACAAAGAATAAAGTACTCTAAACATCTCAATTCCACAAACTCTGAGACGCCAGAACATGTCACCACACCTACTGAATTCACTCTTTTTCCCAAGGACTCCAGGAAGTAAAATAAGGAGAATTTGTGGGAGTGTTTTTCATGCTGGTTACATCTTTGCTTTTGGCAACATTTTGAACAGAAAGGTTCAAAGATCTTTAAAATAAATCACAGCTGTAAAGAGCTAGAAACTCAAGACTGGTTACATCTTAATGTCAGCATGCAAATAATACAGTTCCACAAAGCTGTGCAAAGTGTTTTTCAGACAATCTGCATCTTTCAATGAAATGCTTTTTAGATCAAGATGAAAATGTGTCGACCACATCACCAGTTGGCTGGAGATATTGCAATGGCAAGCTCTGGGTAGGATGGAGCTGTTGTCTGGAGGTGACAATATCTCTAGGAAGCAAGCCTTGAAAACCTGCCATAGACTAAATATCTAATACTAAATGGCCAGAATTTGAGTTGACATTTAGAGATAGTGTCTCAAAGGAGAACTGTAAATGGGAACCTCTTTGCTCCAGTCAGCAAACAAAGCTGGTCCCTGCCTAGCTAGTGTGAACGGGCAGGCTGGATAAACTAGAGCCCTGAAGGAGGTGTCAGGCTTCATGAACATCACACCCACACTGCCTTCCGGTGAAGAGGCCCTGTGAAAATTTTTTGTTCATAATTAGCCATTTAATTCTCACTGCCTTTCACTCCAGTTAATTCAAAGGATTCCACCCTAAGCTCTGTACCGATGTACTGCACCTGATAGGTGGCACAGGGGTATCCATGTAGCTATTCCTCTTTTTTCACCCTTTTTATTTATTTCCTTCTGCTTCACAGCTCAGAAATAAAATAATACAACTCTGCAGGCATATGGAGGCTTTACACTAAGGCTGAGCTTTCCCTGCCATAATCAGGGAGTTAGATAACCCTTCTATCTGAGCAGCTCCACAGCAGCTCCAATAGGTGTGTTTGGGTGCAACTGGTGTGTAATGAGCTTCGATCCGACAGCTGACTGCCTGGCACGTCAAAACCATGAAGGCACTAAATTGATCACTGGACTTCCATGCAACCAAGCCCAGATCCCCAGAGGGATAAAAAGGGCACTCTGCTCCCTGCCATCAGAGAGCTGCACTGTCTGCCTGCTGCTTCTCACCAGTGCCGGGATCTTATCTCCTGCTGCGATGAACCGGCAAACCTACAGCATGCGAGTGGGAGGTGGAGGCAGATCTTACAGCACTGCCTCAGCTATTATTCCAAGCAGCAACAGGGCTGCCTTTAGTTCGATGTCTGTGGCACGAGCTGGAGGAGGTGGAGGTGGTTTTGGAAGGCTCATTGGAGGAGGTGGTGGCAGTGGTGCTGGTTTTGGCAGCAGGAGCCTCTACAACCTTGGTGGTAGCAAGAGGATATCCATTGGTGTTGGAAGCAGCTTCCGTGCTGCTTTTGGGAGTGGAGCTGGTGGTGGCTCTGGCCTGGGAGGTGGTGGTAGTGGCAGCAGCTGTGGACTTGGTGGTGGTGGAGCTGGTGGTGGTCTTGGACTTGGTGTTGGTGGTGGATATGGCTTTGGTGGAGGTGCTGGTGGGCTAGGCTTTGGTGGTGGACTGGGAGGTGGTGGAGGGTTTGGCTTTGGTGGAGTAGGGGGACTGGGAGGATTCAGTGGAGGGTTGGGTAGTGGCAGGAACCCAATGGGGTTTGGTGGTAGCCCACCTGGAGCTGGTACAATCCAAGAAGTGACTGTCAACCAGAGTCTCCTGGCACCGCTGAACCTGGAGATAGATCCAAACATTCACCAGGTGCGAAAAGATGAGAAGGAGCAAATCAAGACCCTCAACAACAAGTTTGCATCTTTCATTGACAAGGTGAGAATTCATCAAGTGCTGTGGAACTGTGATAGAGGGGAAGAGAGGCAGTCATTTAGCTACAAAAATGTGATTTCATAGATCTACAGTCTATTGCATATTTCCTATTTGTAGGTCTTCATCAAAGTAATCAAAAAATAACATAATTCTAAATACTTAGGAGGCAGAATATTGGACTAGAAACTAGTAATAAAAGGATTAGATCCAGGCTCCGTGCCTGAGAAATAAGATACATTAGCTCAAATGTAGAAAGACAGTTTCAGGTCCAGATCTAGCTGCTTAACCCAGCTCTCTCTGTGGAGAATCCCAGCAGACGAGTTGGTCCTCATTGCTTTATTGCCTGCAAGCTCTAGGCCTTTTTATATTGACTGAAGTCCTTCCTTGGCTTTTACTTGGTTAAATACATAGCATATGTGGGCAAAAGGAAAGGCAATTAGGTACTGGTCTTGTGACCTGTAGTACTCAGATCTTAGCTTTAATGAAGGAAGATAAACATCTCTTACAAAGAAAGAAAACCAAAGATGTTAACAAAGGCAACTGATCAAAGGGCTGAACCCACATTTTCTAATGATTGCTCATTGACTTGCTGAATTAAATTGTCTCTAAAGAGAACTGTCCACTGAGGACAAATGTGCTTAGCTGCTGGATGAGCTAACATAGCCCGGGATAATCTGGAGGATATTTATGGTTGGATTTAAATCTTGTCTTGATCACTGGCCATCAGCTCACAGGTATCTTCTGCTAAACCTCTCCACTTCCCAATGCTCAGGTTCGCTTCCTGGAGCAGCAGAACAAGGTGCTTGAGACCAAATGGACCCTCCTGCAGGACCAGGGCCAAAAAAACAACTCAGGCAAAAACAACCTGGACCCCCTCTTTGAGGCTTACATCAACAACTTGAAACGGCAGCTGGCCAACCTGCTCAATGAGAGAGGACGCATGGATGGGGAGCTGAAGAACATGCAAGACCTTGTGGAGGATTTCAAGAACAAGTGAGTGCCTGTTAGTGGCACATCCAGGCACCCTGAGGTGCGATGGGATGCAAATGGTTCAGTTTAGCGTTAAGCAGTAGGATTATTCTCACGTATATTGAGCTTTCTGAAAGCAAAACTCCTAGGCTGAGATATTGACCAAACTTTCTACAGGGAAGTGAAAAAGGTATCTGCAGTCTGTGCTCTAGACCATAACAGAGCACCCAACTAATCCCCATGTGATACACCACTCCTGTGAGGTACATCCCCCTGCAGAACCCTTGTCTTCCTCAACAGCAGCAGACAGGTGGTCCATCATTTTTCCAAACAGAAAATGCAGATTCAGCCAGGACACAACTTGTGATGACACTCACAAAGGAAGATCATCTAAACCAGCCCTACCCTCTTTGCTCCATCTACATTATGTCAAAATGTCATTTAAACTCTTTGAGACATGGGATTCTCACAAATTTGAGCTGGGCAGTTTCCAGTAGGTTGATTTGGAAATGCCATATCCAGCCCAGATAACTGTGCAGTCCAACCTGGACAACTTGGCTGCTAACAGAGGCAGGATTCAGCACGTCTCTCCCTTTATCCCTGCAGATATGAAGAGGAGATCAATCGACGCACAGCGGCCGAGAATGAATTTGTGGTGCTGAAGAAGGTGAGTGGGACGGGAGCTGTTACGGATGCTGAGCTAACCCTAAGGACTGCACAGGCTGGGAGAGCCCTGAAGAACAGGAGAGCTCACGGAGCTGCAGTGTTATCCTTCAAAAGCTGTCATTTGGATTGGTATTTTGGGGGAAAGGAATGGAGGCGCTTGGAGGATGGAGGGAAATTCTTGTCCCACAATATGCACATGTGCTTGCCTGGGCAAAACAGACCATGCAGGTGGTCACTAGTGCTGGGAAGTGCCAAGCAGCCTTCAGTTCCCTCCTTATCCACTAACAAAGCTACTCACAGCACTTCTGTTGGCCAAGAGATGTCCCCTTGGTGCTCTCCCATGGGGACGCACCAAGCACAGCTCCTGCAGTCAGGCAGCACCACTGCAGCAGTGGAAGGTGCTCCAGGCTTGGCCACTTCTTGGCCAAGCTAAAGAAGAGGTACCAGGTGCTGCAGATGGACCCATGGTTGCTCTTTTCCAGGATGTGGATGCTGCTTACATGAATAAGGTGGAGCTGGAGGCCAAGGTGGATGCCCTGACCGATGAACTCAGCTTCCTCCGAGCCCTCTACGATGCGGTACAGATGCCCTTCCCCCCTGACTTCTGTCCTGTTGCCACCCCTGCATGGTGACTGCCATCACTCATGGCATTTGAACAGGTAAGTGCAGCTGGCCCGGGGTCCTCTGTGCTTCCTTGCAGGAGCTGGCTCAGCTCAGTGCACAAGTGTCTGACACTGCTGTCATTCTGTCCATGGACAACAACCGGGAGCTGGACCTCAGCAGCATCATCTCTGAAGTCAAAGCTCAGTACGAGGACATCGCCAACAGGAGCCGGGCCGAGGCAGAGGCTTGGTACCAAACCAAGGTGAACAGACCCAGAGATGCCATGGATGCATTTCTGGGTTAAAACTGCTGCTGGAGCTGTGTGAGGCTGTTTGAGCCATGTCTTGTCCACCTGGACATCTCAGATGGTTTACTCCTCCTTCTGAACCTCAGTTTGAGGAGCTGCAGGCCACGGCTGGGAAGCACGGGGACGACCTGCGCAACACGAAGGGGGAAATCTCTGAGCTCAACCGGCTGATCCAGAGGATTCGGTCAGAGATAGAGAACACCAGGAACCAGGTAGGAATGGCAGGAGTAGCCCATGGAGCCCTGCTTTCTTTTCCCTGAATGGTACAGCTCTGCTTTGCTGTATCAGGAACTTTAGCAGCCACAGAGTATGATGTACCTCATTACATGTGTTGAATTCCCTCCCAAAAAGGGCACCACACTGTACTTTGCATTAAATCATCCTTGCCAGGCTGGCATTTCCACTCCAGCAATATTAACTGTGGGTGAATGACCTCAGCTTTTCTCATTAACACCCCAATCAGAATAGTTTTCTTCCTTGTGTGACTCTTACCCAAAAAGAAAAGCAGCATTTAGGAGTTCCAATCCCTCCTCTTGCAGTGTGCCACCCTGCAGACAGCCATCGGAGACTCGGAGGAGCGTGGGGAGCTGGCTCTCAAAGATGCCAAGGCAAAGATGATTGACCTGGAAGATGCTCTGCAGAAAGCCAAAGCTGACATGGCCCGGCAGCTCCGTGAGTACCAGGAGCTGATGAATGTCAAGCTGGCCCTGGACATTGAGATTGCAACATACAGGAAGCTGCTGGAGGGAGAGGAGAGCAGGTGGGAGCAAAAACCCAGCAGG